GATATTATTCCTATACTGCAAATAAACATGTGTTCTGTCTCCTAATGTATGTCCTCCATTTACATTTATTTGCATATGTTTCATTTACAGATGTTTGAAATGTGCATTAACATGCAGTAATACAGAGGGACTCACACTCCATGTGTAGTGGATAACTGTACAGATTGTGTTGTAATGTGAGTGTGTGACATGATGACGGATAGAGGAACAGTGGTAACACTTATATAACAGGATCATCCTTTTACTGTCGATTACCGTAAAGGCACAATTAATCGCGCACTCATAAATGAAGAGCTGCTGATTTGACCATACGCGAGAGACGATTGAGTTGACTGCAGTGTTCCACTGCACTCCGACAGCACTGAGCACTACATCGAGATTAAGATTAAACACATTTATTTCATTTGGGAACACTCACATATGGAGTTGGCCAGATGTGTGTAAATTACTGTTCATGGTAATTTGAAAACAAATGCCGGTGTCGGACATACACAAACACACCGAACACACACACAGAGCGGAACTGAGCAAACACACACGTCATGCGCCTTGTGGACCGAACATCTCCTTCATAAAACGAGTAATAGGGGGAATAATCGGGCAGTTCGATGTGTGTAGAGGTGTGTGTGTGTGTAGAGGTGTGTGTGTGTGTAGAGGCGTGTGTGGCTATAATGAAGCAGCCTGCAGTCGCTCTTTAGCTGTTCTAATGAAGGTAAACACATCGAAGGCTGTGTGTAAAAGGCATAGCTCCACTTCCTACTTGGCGAACCTGTAACTTTCTTGTGTGCACGAGAACGTATCTCTTGCGCACGAGAAAGTATATCGTGATGAGCAAAACCGTGTCACTTGGCCCAGGTGGTTTCCACAGAACGGACAAAACATGTTTAACGACCATAAACACACTCGTACCGTCCATAGGTACCGGCGGTCTATCCGCCAAAACAAACTTAAGTTTGTGTCAATCACTTGCACGTCACTTCTGGTATGATGGGCATTCCCTTTCCGGTTTGATTCTCTAGTTTGTTAAAGTGTTTTCGGCAAATGTTAAAGTGTTTCGGGAAATGTTAAAGTGTTTTGACACTTGTAAATTTGTTTCTAGCTTTGTAAAAGTGTTTCGCATCTTGTTAATTTGTTTTTGTCAATGTTAAATCGTTTTTTTTTTGGTAAAAGTGTTTTGCTAATGTAATTTTGTTTTATAAAATGTAAATTTGTTTTATAAAATGTAAATTTGTCTCAAGCTTTGTTAAAGTGTTTCACACCGTAATTGTCGATTGCACCTCTCAGCCACCGTAGTTCTCGTCTCATGTCACTTCATGTTTCTTACCTTACTCTACCCTCTGATTCTGTAATGGTATACTTTACTTTCATGACATCCAAACACCTAAACTGTAGTGTGTTTAATTCATGGAGAAATTACATGCTGTCTTGTGTTCGTTGTGATGCAATTAAATAAAGCACATTTAGCACAAGAAAAAAAAGATCCTTCGTACACATCAAACACATTTTGTATTGTGTGTTTACTGTGAAACTCTGCAGACATACACACACATGCACACCCACAAACACATTGTGGGTCTTTTGCTTCTCACCTTTAGAGTTTTCAGAGCCTCCTCCAACACGGGCTTCCACTTTTTTGCCTGATTTACGGCCCAAAGGTGCAGTCCACTACTCTAAAGTGTTTACTTACCACAGGCATTAAACATAACTGTCAATTAGGAGTGGAAGTCAGGGCTCCTAATGGCCCTGTTTAGACTGTCGTGTGGACAAGCATTAGCGTCTCTCAGTCTGAGAGAGTGTGCGTGAGTGTGTGTGTGTTCGGTAGGGAGTGAGAAGCATGTGAGGATCAGTGTGTGTGTGTGTGTGTGTGTGTGTGTGTGTGTGTGTGTGTGTGTGTGTGTGTGTGTGTGTGTGTGTGTGTGTGTGTGTGTGTGTGTGTGTGTGTGTGTGTGTGTGTGTGTGTGTGTGTGTGTGTCAAAACCCTACACAGCTTACTCCCCTTGATCATCCAGAGTAGTGAACATTTCAGCTGACACCTTTACGAGAGGACAGGACCCCGGACTCATTTTTTAAAGTCCCCGGTCCACTTTGATGTGCGTTATTAAACACACCTGTACCTGATTTGTACCGCCGCTCTCTCCCGTCTCTCACTCTCCCCTGAATATTAGTTCTACTTACGGTTAGGTCTGAACATCAGCAGTATTTATGGTTAGCTCACAATGGGTGGATTTACCATGAAAGATTTAACAGTATCAGAGAGGGTTGAATTAAAGGGTACAAAGCTGTTCCATCCTGAATGGCTGGCATGTATGGTGTCTTCATGTAATAAAAGACTACACATGTGCAATGCAACACAATTGGAATTGTTGTTGATATCATTAGTTTATTGAAATGTATTTAAAATAAAGGTTTTGAATAGATTGCATTCTCCATTTAAGACGTTGTTAGCTTGTCCCTGACCATTTAGGACCTAAGTGGAAGTATATACAGTACATACTGCATCAATACAAGGATATACAATTTGAATATGTATTTTTTTCATTTAAAGTCGTGGTTATCTTTAGTAAATGAATCTGTTCCTACTGTTCTAACTTAACATCCCTCCCCATTAACTACTACGATTACTGTTTGAAAAACATTATAATGCTATAAAGAAACTTTAGCTGCATCAACTTCCTGTTGGAGCGACACACAGGTGTGCGCCAGAGATTAATGTCTGAAGCATTTTGGAGGAGAAAGGGTTGATGGGAGGATAAAGGATACAAAGAGCTCATGAATTATCTGCATATACGAGCTGCTTATTTGATCAACGATAAGAGAAATGAGTCCACTTGCTCTCCAGTCTACACTCGCATGAAGCCTATGAGCCATGTGATACCATCAATTTAGCTTGCAATGACAACTAGTCCTTAGCATGGATGAACACACCCTCTTTGGTAAACTATATGATAGGATTATGACTGTATTTGATATGCCATGCATGAAATTAAAGAATATCTAGATATGTTTAAATTGTCACTTTTCTTTAAAGCATAAGTTTAGATATGTTTTGTACTTGACATGGGTCATGGTAGAGTATAGTAAATAGTCTGTTCTGGCTTGAGAATTCACATATAAAGTGTCAAGGGCACTGTTGTTTCTTCTGCTAATAGTTAAACGAATGTGAGGCAATGAGGGTTCTTCAAAAGGGACGGAAATGCTCATTTACAACTGTGACTAATTGTGGCATAAATTCACAATCGTTTCATAACGGGCCTCACAGCTTGAGCTTTGTCATGTGCAATGAACGCCTTGCTCCCATTTTCACCTACCATTGCTCTCAATCAAATCAAGAGGTGGGGTGGAAGTTTCTTTTCATATGTTCAAAGGCGACCGGTTACTGAGCAATTTTTGTTTTACTGAAACAATAACTGCTTTTTATTGAGAACAAATGTTGACATTTGGAGGGTGCAGCAGCGGGTGAGAGAAAGAGCGTGCTAGAGAGAGAGGTAGGGCCTCTGTGTGCTTTGGAGAGTGCCTCTGGTGATATTTGACTACAGAGCTGAGTCCCCGGGGAACCTACCTGAGAATAAAGCATGCATTTCAATAAATCAACATTTAATGAAAGTGTTTGGGCTGAGGAAGAAGAAGCTGGCCAGGGGCTATAGTGTGCATGTCCTCCATATACAGTAGGTGACGGCCAAATAAAGGCAAATAAAAATAAATGTAAAATACAATAGTATCAGGCAGTGGTGATTAAAGGTGGACACCCAATTATACAACAAATCAATAAAAGTGTTAAAAGGTCCTCCCTAAATATATATTTAGCTTCAAAGACTCTTCTTCATAACATTTCTGGCATTTGTGAAACTGTTCACTGCAAAATAACCCATGAATGTGTGTCACTGTCAGCCTAAAAGGTGGGTTAACTGACTTTGGGTGGGTTTACCCTCCACTACATCCATGGTGGCAGCCACATATTACTTCCTTGGATGAGGCATGGGGGGTCTGAAGAAGGAGGAGGAAAACCAAGGTGAAAGGGAGTCCCTTGAGATTTGGACAACACTCAAACTGAAATTCAACTGGAAAATGAAGGATTAGCTTTTAGTCTGGCTGGGAGCGATGATGGAGGCCTCCTCTTGGAGGATGGGAATATTATACATCTGATCTTTGAGTATTTCACACTCAGCCTCCACTGTGTGTGACAACATATTGGAAATACTTTTTCTAAATCATAGAAATGTAAAGTAATATTAATTTTAAATGGTGTGTAAAGTTGTTTTAAAATTATTATTATTATTAGTAGAACTAGTAGTAAACTAATTGTTTTTTTTTACATTATGCTTATTATCATCATCATCATCATCCTCCTTAAACCTGAGCTTTTTTTTATTCAAAATTGTTTAATTAGCTGTGTCCTAAATCCACTGAAATAACCAAGCCATGATGAAAAGCAGAGGAAAGCCTGTCCGATTAGGGCCCATCACACAGCCCATTGGAGCTGGCAGATGCTTAGATAGACTTTTATGGATTGCTCAATGCCATGCCGTAATGAAGCAGGCAGGGCTGACCCATCCTGAACCAGGCTAAAAAGCTCCAGGGACAGGCCCCGCTGGGAGCCCATAATGCCCGATGCGTCCCACGGCTGTATTAATCACACTGAAAAATAAATGTGTGGCAGGGCGAGGGGAGAGGGGAAAAGGGGAGAAAAATGAAATAAGTATGTCGTTTATCCCAATCAAGGTCGTGAATATGTGGCCCAGGGAGATTCCCCTGACCAGAATGAGGCCCTAAAAGAAAATGATGGTCCATTTAGAAAGAATGGATTGTGCAATCTGTGAAAACTCATAATGTTTATGAAAAGCAAAATTCATCAAGCATTTCCCATCTGCGTTTGGAGTGGAAAAATAAAAGGAACAGTGAACAGGGTGAATAAAAAATACCTGAGTGTTAAATACAGGTCTGTTGTAAATAAAATAATGACTCCCCAAGATGTATGTATAGTTGGGAAAACAGTTTAATATTTTCTCCTTTGAATAATGAATATCATACTCCGCCAGTACATCTTTACCAGCGTTTATTTTATTTACATTCAAAGATATAAATTAGTAAAAGTACTCCTGATAACAAGATTGTGTAGCTTTTTCCCAAATGCGTCTCAAATAAAAACCGTCCATAATATATATATTTACAAAACAAACAGACAATGTCAGTTTCCCATTTTTGCAATACAACTTGCATAAATTATAGGCATCATTTCGCCATCATTTAAAAAAATAAATATCAAATGTAGGCTATTCCACTTTGAAGTCTTCAAGTTCACTTCAGTCCCGTCCGCTTTGCGTCCTCCTTTTACAAATACGGTTTCACAGAAAGGCCAAATTATGTTTTCCACACGTGAATATATAATAAAACAATATACCGTGGCAAATAAGCAAACTATAGGAACCTGAGAAATAACATGTAAATCACATATAATGGGAGATATTTTGGAAACAATGTGAAATCATTACCCACAAATGCATTTACAACAAACAACTGAAATAATACAATAGTAATCTGACAAACATGTGCTGTAGAGAGAGTCTCAGCCTGTGTGCAGCTGAGGAGGCGGTAGCAGCTTTCATTCTGACTATATGGTGGCACTAGATCCGGTTTGAAGTAAAGGTTATGGGGGTTAAAACATGGGGCCAAAGGGTGGTGTCCTTACTCACTTTATAGTCAAAGCAATTGTGACACCTACCTGCAGACCATGGAAATAAAAAGAATCCCACACAATAAAATAATCAACTCCCTCCACAACCTCAGGAAACTCAAAGGTATCCCTCTACCCATAACAGCTCTATACTGCAAGTGCTTATTAAAATCCCCACTGCCTAATTGCCGGGGGAAACGTTTATCCAGCGGCGTGTAGGCAGAGCTTTGAATGTGCGCAAGGAAAGTAACCGCCACAATAACCTAAGTGACATTTGAAGATGTAAAGTTGCACGATGAATGCGCAGAGCAAACTAACTGATTTGTTTGCTTTTGGCTGACCCTGTGTAATTATAATTATCCTAAACTGGAAGATAAGGTTGGGGCCCACTGTGCGTGCGCGCACACACATCAGAGGAAACATAAAAAATAGGATTCCTGTTCAAAGCTATGGCAACATTTCTCCGCTTATTGGATTCACAGGCTGCCACTGTGTGGTGTGTGTGTGCGCGCGCGTGTGTGTGTTTGCGTGTGCACGTGGTTAGGCTGATCTGAGGTCTGTCCTTAATGGGGTGATGTTTAACGTCTCTATATGTAGCCTATGTGTAGGCTACTTCTGCGCATTTTTTCATATCCCCACTGTCTTCCAATGCAATACTATAGATGATTTAACAGAAGAACAAAAGTACACGTTGTGTTGTAAAAAAAAGTTGAATAATTAACTTATTATTTCAGAAAATACACTGCGTCGAACACTAATTATAGGCCACAATACACGTCGGTATGGTTAGACAGCGTTGTAAAATATCCATATTAAAAAGTAATTTAGTCTCATATTAGGTCCTAAAACCGTATTAATCGTAATCTGCCAATAGTGTCAGAAAATGCCACGTAGGCTATGTCTCATGCTTGAAAATAATCTTAATTTTATCCAAAACAGTCAACCTACGGTTTGACTAGGCTACTATGACACATTGAAGTGTCACAAAGGAAACCAGTTAATTTGCATTGCAAACAAGTGAACTCCTTTTACCTCGGCCGTGGAGCGGTTTCCCTCCCACGTTTAAAACAAATACAATCTCAAGATTTTAACACCAGATTAAATTAGTCTTTAAAATGGTTATTGTTTGTTTTAAGAGCGTGGCGAAACGTGTAATTACGTACCTTTCTTTGCTTCTAAATGTGCGGGTCGGAAAAGCTGTTGTGGCTCGACAACAACAATGTGGTTTGGGTTATTTTTAACGAGGGGGGAGTCTGGCCTGTGTTTGGGGTTAGTGCTGGCCTCCACAGCGTGGTGAGAGGAGCTCAGACCCTCGTTTGCAGCAGCGACGGCGGCGGCAGCAGCCAGACTCACTCCGGATGAATTAGTATACCGCAGGATCCCTTGGCCCTGCAGGGGGCTGAAGTTGCCATAGTTTGTGTAATTGCTATAAAAGGGAGAAGTGTAATAAATAGGTCTTCCAAGGATGGAGGGGGCTGGGTAGAGGGAGGGGGAACTGGCAGCCGGGGAGGTGGTGGAAGACGTAGGGGGGGTAAGGAGGCCACCGCTGGAGGAGGGGCAGTTCGGTTGTCCGGGCTGCACATGTTGCTGGTGATGCTGCTTTTGGTCCGAGGTAGCAATTTCCGCCAGCGACCATAATTTGGGCTTGACTGTGGGGTTCTGAGGCGCCCCCGAAGAAGGTCTGCTATCAAGGCAAGGAGACGATTTATTGGTGTTGATAGTGTTGATATTGATGAGGCTGCGGGCCAAATCCTCGCGCTGACTGTGGAGTTGGTGGAGATGATGGAGGTGGTGGTGGTGATGACTGAGGAGTGGAGCTTCTACTCCCGTGAGAGGCGACGATGTGACGGATATGGGTGAAAGCTGAGCCCGCCTGTCGTGGTTCTGCTCCTCGCCGTCCTCCTCGCACTTGTCGCCGGCCCGGTCAGAGCCCAGTTCCCCCCCACGACAGCTGACCTTCTCCCCGTCAGACTCTGCAGAGCACGAGTGGTCCGTCAGAATGTCGACGTGCAAGCTGATACCTAAGACACAAGGAGAAATGTGGAATTAAAATAAAGAAATAGCCAATAATTACAGGAAAAAATAACATTCCATGGATAAATAGAAAATAAATAATTGTCATCTCTAAAAGTAGACACATTAAAATGTAATGAGCAGTCATATAAAATAAAGACAAAAGCAAACGCTGTCTAATAAATAAATTAAACCATTTTATAAAATCATCTTATCGTCAAAGTATATTCTGTATCCATTTGTATTAAAAGCCATCAACAATGTTTTGGGCTTGAATAAGTGAGACATTAATTATTCATATCATTTTAAATGGGCTACGATTCATATAACAGTATTTTTTTTTAGATAATTATGCAAAGATGTCATCAGGATAATGACATTAACATTAAGGCCACTCATGTGGATTGCTATGTTATGTGTCTACTTTGCCAGTGACCTTCCATTAATCATGTTCAGAAAATAGAGCGTTCACCTTAACAGGTCATTTAGTCTTAGAACCTCGTTTTCATTAACACAATTATATTAATCAATACTATTAGTAATACAATACATTTTGCCAGATGTATTTCATAAGAGATAAAAAAACAAAATAAAGACAGATTATTTTAAAATGTGTTTCAGGATATAATAATTCCATGCTAAATTTCAAAACCCAGCATTATTTCCCTAAATATCTTGAGCAGTAAATACAAGGGGAATCCACCCCTCCCTCTAGCCCCCATGCTACCCCGAATTGTTAAATGGATCATTGGCTCGGTCGCCAGATAATACCCCACCTTCATCCTCCGCTGAAGCCTCGCTGTTATCCAGCGTTTTTTCAGAGCGATCCACTTCTTTCCTCTCTCCGTCCCCGTCCTCCTCGTCCTCGTCTTCGCTCTTATTCCTGGGCGCCCATGTCATCTTGTTCTCCTTCTTGAGCCTCCGCCTGGCGTTGGCGAACCATGTGGAGACCTGCGTCAGGGTCATCTTGGTGATGATGGCCAGCATGATCTTCTCCCCTTTAGTCGGGTACGGGTTCTTCCGGTGCTCCTGCAGCCAGGCCTTCATGGTGGCCGTGGCGTCCCTGGTTGCGTTTTTGCGGTAAGCCGGGTCGTTGAGTTGGTAGGGGTACCCTGGACTCCCGTATGGGTGGTAACTCAATGCCCCGGCCATGCCCGATGTGTGCGCGTCATATGGAGAGCTCTGGAGGAAAGTTGAAACAGTCAAGATTCTGCTGTGTGTATTCCAACGCTGAGTTTAAAAAATATGTTTTTTATTTGACATTAATGTTAGCCTACTTGTAATTAATTTACAAAACTACTACTATAATTGATATGGCATTTTAAGGACACACACATGTATATTCAAAAGACATTATAACAACTGAAACAATCTATTTCATTCTAGTCATTGTTATTTTGGAAAACTTGTGAAAAATGTGAGGAGAGTGGTATTAATTCACTGACAGGTCTCTAGAACAATACGTGCAGTGTATTGTTAAAAATAAACAAACAATTAATATTTTATGTTGTGCTTGGATCATTTGTCAAAGCTCCTCATTTAGTTTGAACAAAAATGTAAATGCAGGCGAGGCTAAATACACCGAGCGTAAAAGCAGGCCGCGGAAAAGCACGAACTAATGGTTAACTAATGGTCAAGATCATTATCGGATTAACTAATAGCAAGGCTCCTGTTAATATAGCCATAAAGCTAATAAAAAGGACATTTCAATTTTCTGTAATCACCCATTAACTTCCTCATTTTCTTTCAGTGGCTGCTTTTTGTTTTGTTGTGGCAGCCACAATGTGTTAACATATCTTCTCTTTGCAGCATTACAAATCCCATTAGCAAATCACTTGATATGCACCTTTCCTAAAACGATTCAAGTGCCCTGTGACAATAGCATTGCAAGTCATGCTTTTCATGTTAAAATTCCGTTTATTCAACTCAGAATAAAGTCTACTTCATCCCCTGGTGATTTTAATGACTGCTGTAGAAGAAAGAGTAATAGCTTGTGTAATATTAATTTCCTATGGCACACAAATTGACTGCTTAGCTGCTAAAAGGCTGAAATAAAAATCTTAGTTGGTGTTCTGTTTTCCATAATTAGCTGCGCAGTGAGTGCTAAGCGTTGGTCAAGCCATTAGAATTTGCAGCTCATGCTGAAAAAAATCAATTTAAGCCAAAGAGGTTAAGGATTTAATAGTAACAATCCGACGAAAGGCCAATAGATATAAACACAAGGCAACCGTGCACTCAATGAGAAAGTTACGCACGTAGCCTACTTACTGATAAAGGGATCATAACAAAACACATTGTGCCGATTTAATCTTGAGCGAATGACAGCTAAACATTTACATACGTTAACTCGCTGACAAATTCAGCCGCTTTGAAACCTTATCATAAAGAATCATAGATTGATATATGAGATATTTTACCATGTAGGATGGGAATCCCGTAGTTGGATCCGTGGAGTATGACAGCGGGCTGGAGAAGCCTGCACCGGCCGAGGCGGAGAAAGCAGCCGATCCAGGGTAAGGACTGAAGGCTGAGCCAGAGGACGATCTCGCCAAGTCTTCATTCCGCGGGGCAGCCAGAGCCGAGGCCCCGTATGCTGGACACGAATAAAGAGCCAGAGAGCCCGGGGGCTGGTAGAGGTAACCCTGAGGATAGGACATGGGTGAGCGCGCGTTGGGTCGCCGATTCCAAAAAAAAGAGGAAAAAACGACGCGCAGGGCGACGAGCAGCCAAAATAATAAACAATCAACTCAATAATCAGCCGTGCAAACAGTCATCGGACAATGAAAATAAAAAAAAGTCCTCCCTCCACAGCCCCCTTACTGGGAAAAAAACCCCGAAAGATCTGTTAAAGTGCCCACATAGAGGCAATGTGGCATGCGTCTTGATCCCCTAGCGTCCGATGTTTTTAGTACGCAGCACTATGAAGTGAGGAGTTAGAAGGGAAGGAGCCAGTGGAGTTTCAGACACACAGAGCATTGGGGGAAACTGGAGCTGTCACTCCGGCTCATCTGAATATCCCATCCACGCCCCCTTTCTGCCTCGTAGAAATGGAGACTCGAAACAAAACCAAGACTCCACACTGCAAAAAGTGGGCTCTGTCCACCTTAACGAGACTCGTTTAGTTTAACGTGGTTTCAAAACATTTTAAATAAGAAATGTATGTAACTGAGCAAAGCAAACAATCTTCTGCATTTGTCATTTATTTCCAGAAAATTCCCCAAACAGGTAACATGTATCAGAATTTATAATTGAGTCATTTTGAAATGTTCTTTTGAAGTTCATTTCTTACATTTTAAAATAGCGATATATTCATATAGAGTTTTTTTTGTTTTTTTTCGATGGGTAGGCCTACTTATTGCAGCACCAGGACATACATAGTCTTGCAGTGAGAGAAAGAGAACTATACAAAATCAGTTTGCATGTTTTACTTTTTGCCGTCGTTTTAAAAAAAAAAAGTTTAAAGGTCAGGTTGATTGTGATCGTCTGTGTGATCAAAACTTGCACGCACTCCCATAACAACTGAGCAGGACATAAAGCGAGAGGGGGAGAGAGAGAAAGAGAGGGGGGGGGTAGTATAAAATGGCCAGTGCTCTCCACTTGCAGCTGGTTATTTCGTCAGTCCAGCTATCAGACGCGGACACATCCATGAATGCATTCGAGCACCGATAAGGGTGCACGCGCGCCAGGCAGTGCGCGCTCTGGTCTGCGAGAGGCGTGCCCGGATCCTTAATTCCCCCCACTTAGCGCATCTCAAATACACTCATCGCTTATTATTACAATTACATTCATCAGGAATAATAAGCCGTTGGTGCTGGTTATTGTAGTTTTATGAGGGGCAATCTCTCCTCTGTGCAGGCACCACACACACTGTCCGGTGTGCGTAATTAGGCGAGTTTGACAGCTTTTGCCAGTTTTTTTTGGGGCATTACCTGTCTACACACTGTTGTGTTTCTGTGTATGCGCGTTTGCACTTGTCTCTGCATGCAAAACAGGGCACAGCATTGTCCTTTATTACTGTGATTACAGGCATTATGACCTCTGTTGGAGACAAGCGATACAGCACAGCAGGGTGGAAACCTGAAACTGTGACAGAGGTTTTTTTGGAACGGGCAGTCAAGGTGGCAACTACTGTGAAGAAGAGTGGCCTATAGCAGTCTTCCTCATCAGTATTCATCAGAATGAATGTGTTCATCCATCAGGTGCTTGTTCCTCCACTGCAGTGTGGTCTGAGTGTTGTAAACAGCAACAGCACCATTTAAATAGGTGCAATACAGCGTGCCTGTTAGCAGGTCTGACTGATTTATTTATAGCACCTAAATGCATGCAAATTATACAAAAATAAGGCCAATTGTATAGCCTATGTGTACATTCCAGTTATGTTAATGAATACACCATAATGTCCTGTATTCAAATCCTATCTTAATTACAGCCATCCATTTTCAATGTGTACTACTTTTAAATGAGACATGACAGTATTATGATTATTATGACACCTAGCACAAATTCGTACAACAATACAGTAATATAGGAGTGTATGTATGTGGTATGGTTGTGTCAGAGCACGTTTGGAAATACGGTATTTTTTTAATTACTCAAAACACCATTCTATAACAGATATAAACACTTTTGAAAATGCTTATACTGTTTTTTTCTTCTTCTTAATGTCGTAAATAAATCAATAACTGATGCATTATGGAAACCAAAAAAAGTAAATCTATTACATTTTCATTTGAATATGTGTTACATTTAAAGTCACAGTTATAATGCATTTGATTAGATATTATTGTTAAAGCAGGCCTGACTGCTGAGAGATTGACATGAAAGAAACCTTTAACTATTTATTTTTAAAAGCAATGTTAAAAACTGTTTACAAAAAGCTAATTAATGTTCAATGTTTGAAAAAGCTAACCATATTCTGGATTAGTTAAGCAGTGAACATCATCATGACATGTATGATACACTTTGTGTCAGTAATATTCAGGGATTACTAATAATTATTTAGTCCAGTGTCAAGATTTTGCAAGGAATTTAGCCTACCAAAGTTTTTATATCTTTTTCAGGAAATGGCCTTTATTTTTCAGGAAGATTTAGTGGTGTCTCTGTTTCAGGCAGGACTAATCAATCCCAGAAGACTAAATGAGTACTTTTATGATAGATTGGGTCAAGATGTGGCTGACTGGGAGTACTGTTCGGCCCACACCAGGGGGCACTGTCTCCTCTACACACAGACCATAGTTTAACCATACAGTAAGTAGTGTAACATCACCGAGTGTACGTGTGTGTGTGTGTATGTAAGTATGTGTGTGTGTGTGTGTTTTAAACTCCACAGTAGTGCATTCCAGGTCTCAGTTTCAGACAAGCTGGAGCTCCTAAGATATTTTAGTCCCAGCCTGATGGAGATATAGGAGATGGGAAAGAGAGGAGATTGACAGACAGACAGACAGGCAGAAAGACAACGCGGACTGAGAGACAGACGGATAAAGACAGCATAGAGAGTATAGACACTGTGAGGCAGGCGGATGAAGCAAGACAGAAAAGCATCAGGTCAGACAGTCAAAGAGGCAGACAGGGAAAAAGATGTGGAGTCAGACATACAGATGCAACGTCCTGCATGACCTTATTGCCACTTTAGACTTACAGAAATTAGCTGCAGTGACTTTCAACACCAATTATACATTTTGCTGATGGTGTTAAGGTGAGTGGTCATGAGGTATATTAATAAACAAAAAAGAAAGACAAAAAGAAAAGAAAGAAATACCCCACTTGTCCAACAGCCTAATGTTTGGGCTTGTTTTACTGCGGGGAACTGCATTTTTACTTTAATAAAAAATAACTTGATAAATGTACAGACATAACAAATTAAATAAAGTCATAAGTTTGCAATTAGTTTTATTTTGCCCGTGAACACAGTTTTGGCCCCACATCATGTTTTACACTTAACAAATTAAGACTTCCTTATTTTCTATGAAGAAATAACAAATAGACGTACTTATAACATATTGATGTTTATTATACGTATGACTGCTTAATGGATTAAAGCAGTTTATCTACCTCTGCTCACTTCAGATAACTCTATATCAGTGAATAATGTCATCCTTCATAAATGAAGGAAACAGCTATTGATTTCTCATCTATTCTCTCCCAACAGAATTTACCCCTGAATAATGTCCAACTGGCAGAGGTGCGTGTATTGCACTTGCTGATGATTGCTTACTGCTAACCCTTTTTTGGTAGAGTAAATTGCCCGGAGTCAAATTGAATAGCTAAAGGATATACTGTAGCTTTGATGTCATGCCCTTTGTTTATTACCCATGTGACTAAATAAATATTGATTTCTGATTTTCCATAATATTTTGAACCTCTGCAGTGCAGCTGTTGTGGACCTTTTACATTTTATGAACTTCTATGATGTGCATTTGGCTTTATGTGTTAACTATGTTCTGGGGGGGTTGGGGGCAATGTGGGGTGGAGCTGGGTAAATGTGTAAATGCATGGTTGTGTCTGTCTATCACTCTAACTATGCTTGTCTGTAGGTGCATGACTAATAGTGCATGTGGCGGTGTAGGAGGGAAATGCACTAGTTATGTAGTCATATTGAACTGGTCTGAAATCAATACAGTCTGAGGAGGATATAGCAGTATGATTAAACCTGAGCCTTGCTATTGTTCACAGTGACCATTGCCTCCATGTCTTTGTCACTTATGAACAGTGCCTTCAGTTTTAAGACCTAAAAAGCACTTTTTTGGTCTTCATGTCTCTCTTCTTAAATATTTGAACTCATCATAATGGTGTTGTACTCAACTTTGCTGGACAAAGTTCCAAGGTTTTTGCATCAATCAAGAATAGTTTGTATTATGCTCTAACCACATGTACACTCCAGCCTGTCCTCCTACAAAAAACGACCAAATAGGTCGATTGTTCAGCAGCTTATTATATACAGTCTATGATTACGACCCATAGTCACGTTTTAAAGTGTAGCACCTATAGTGGTCGTGTAAGAAACAACATGCTCCCGTTGATTGCAAACGCTCCGCAGGGTTGTTTATTCACAAATAACCCTCTCTGGAAAATCCTAAATTGTGGAAAAGTTTGGACATTAAAATGCTTTTTGAATAGATTTCTAGCGAGAAGTGTATATTGTACTTTTAGAATCCACGTCCAGTGGATGTATAGGATCTATAGTTTGATATATATTATGAAGATGATTTGAGGTCTCGCCAGGAGAACATTAATATACTACGTATAAATCCAAAATCTGAAATCCTCCTCCTGCTGCCTTGGACAGGATTTTTCAAAGATGTTTTTCCTTGCATGGCCTCAGATCTACTTCATATAGGAAGCAAATCTCTTCACTCAGGTATTTTTCCACAGGCCCTGAAAACTGCAGTCATTAAACCGCTCTTAAAAAAGAATAATCTAGATGCTTCAGTAATGAACAATTACAGGCCCATATCAAACCTGCCATTTCTAGGTAAAATCATTGAAAAAGCTGTTTCAGTGTTCCAGTCAGGCTTTCGACCAAACCACAGCACTGAGACTGCTCTTGTAAAGGTCTTCAATGACATCCACTTAAACACAGACAGTGGCAGAACTTCAGTGTTAGTATTATTAGATCTCAGTGCTGCGTTTGACACTGTTGACCACAACATATTACTAGACCGACTGGAAAACTGGGTGGGACTTTCGGAAACAGTTCTAAATTGGTTTGAATCCTACTTAAAGGACAGAAACAACTTTGTTTCTATACTGTAGGTAAATACACATCTGAGTTGACAAATATGACATGTGGAGTACCTCAAGGCTCCATCTTGGGGCCTCTTCTCTTTAACATCTACATGCTACCACTGGCTCAGATAATGAAAAATAACTAAATAAGTTACCATAGC